ATCTACAATTTGATACTAAACTTATTGACATAAATTCATGAAATAGTGGTTCAATAAAATTTTGAATGCAAGTCAACAAACATGATGACATAACCTTTGACATGTGACCCATCACAATAGGGTTAATACTACAGAAAGAAAAAACGTGTAAACCACACAATTAACTAAACTTGCATAATTATAAACAGTTGCATAAATTCAGCTTACTCAACTCCTACAAGGTAAAACAAAATTAATACTCTTCTTCTCACTTCTGAAATATATATATATATCATCCTAGAATGTTTATCTAAAATCATACTGAACATGCAGAATCAGTTTAGGTTACTTGTGCTTCACAGAAATAGACTACCCAGATGAATAACTGACTAAAATAAAATATTATAGATATATTAAACCAGAATTATCACCTGGTAGACAGAGCCATCACTGGTCACTTCCTTGCACTGATCATTTTTACTGTTTTTACAATTGATCTTATGCTTTTTTTGGCTATGAAATGAGCCCAGCTCTTGTTGAGAGAGTTTCCTAACAGATGATGAATCAAACAATAGCTTTCTTCCCCTCCAGTCGCACTCTCGAAAAATAAGAGCTCGTACTTGTTTTGAACCATTGAATTTTAGAGGTTTCCAGCTGTACAAAAAAAAAAAAGAATATTATTCAGAAAATGTTACTTTTAGTTATCTATTGTTGTGTTTATCATTAAACCTTCAGGTGATACATCTAACTATATATCAACACAGGGATGGATTCTGGAGTCAATTTCAAAGTTTTGTGCTTCAGCTAAAAAATGTTAATAGTTAGGTAATTGCTAAGTAGTTAACATAATTTACAATCCAGAGACACAGATGTTTTAAATTGAATGGTCCTACAAATTTAAATTCTGATATGTTGAATAGATTAACTTACAAAAATAATTTATGATGTTGTCCTCGCACAGCCAAAAACGAGAAACAACACAACTTGATCAAGAAGTTGAGCTACAATTTATGCCCAAAATCAAGGTCCTTCACTTTTATCTTGTGACCCAAGGATTTGTATAGGATTTCCAGAAAGGTTGTAATGATAAATCTATTAACAATTATCCATCTTTATGATATACAGTAACCTACTTAAATCCTACTGTCAGTTCAGTTACATTAAGTATTTAAATAAATTTTTAGTAATTTAGCATCTGATGTTATAAATATATTATTAATATAAATAGGAGAGATTCTAAGCATGAAACATGCAACAACTGTGTTTTAGTTAGATCTATGAGGTCATTGAACATGACTTGACATAACAACAAGCTAGAACCAAGCTTGATTATCACTACTAACAATTCATATGTCTGTGGCTTAAACATGCTAAATAAAAACTGAACATAAGATTACTGTATTGGCCTGATTATAAGGCGATGTTTCTTTATTAATAATTAGGCTGCAAAATTCATAGTCGCCTTATAAGTTATATCAAGGCCTACCACAGGCTGCCACTCTAGCCTGTTGCATTCCTGAATGTCCAGATGGCATCCGTCTATGCATGCCACAAGATGTTTGCTCAAAGTCATCACTAATTCTTGCAACTAAGCCACCAGCAGGCTTTTCAGTTATAGTCTTGATTTTACAGACCTAAAAATGACTTTATGACACTCACTCTTGTTTTTTCTTTTCCATGGTTTCTAAAAATGGGGGTCACCTTATATTCAAGATCGTCCTATAATCGAGCCAATACAGTAATTATCATATTCAACATGACACAATCAAGGCACTTATTGATATACATTACAAATCTGGTGAAAAGAAAGACTAAAATTCAATGTTAAGAGCATATTTCTGTAATTATAAATGTTAAAAAATATATCATTATTATACAAAAACAAGGATATTATTCAACTGAAAAATTTCATCAGCAAAATCATTAAAATAGAAACCAAATTTTAATTGAATTTTGCACCAACAGATGGAGAACTTCGATGACGAGGAACCCACTTTGAGACTAATAATGGCTGGAGACGGCTTGAATGGGT